TTTGGGAGATTTACTTACTTAAGGGAAAAGATTTCTCACAAAATAAAATAAAACATTAGAAAAAATGAAAAATATTTATTTGTCACTCTTCCCAAATATAGTACAAACAATTCAATTTTGTCTTTGGCGGTAAACTGATTTATTAAATCATTTATAGCTGATAGTAAACTCTAGTTTTTTTTAGTTTCTTTTTTCTATGGACAATAGTATCAGGTTTTTAGGTAAATTTTTATCAGGAAGTAACCAAGAATACAATGTGTTATTGTTGAAGTATTTAGTATAGTACCTCGCAAAAATTGTATGCAAGACTGCTGAATTTTATCAGCAATAATTCTTTTTAGATTTTAAGAATGTGGTTAGATCCTTCAATTGGCCATAAAGATTAACTGATATGTCTTTACTACATTTAGCCGACAAATTTCCCAAAACTTTGAAACTTTGTTTGAAGGAGACAGCCGTTTTAACAGTTGTCCGGTTAGCAAATCGGATTTTTTGATAGAAAATTAAAACTTTCCTCAAGCAATAAATAATTTGCCAAGTTTTTACAAAATATTTAACAATTAATGTTAAGATTAATATTTTTGTTATTTTCTTTGATAGCTTAAGATAACATAAATACACATATTATAAACAAAATTTAAAATAACTATTTTGTTATCAAAAACTTAATACAGAAGATTTGATATTTATTCAGTCGTATTTTTGTTAACTTTCTCAAATTAATTCACATGAAAAATATTATTAAATATTATTATCTTTTGTAAATACTTTAAGAATAAAATATAATGCCAGAAGCTTTTATAGCTTTGAGCTTTCATTCAAGTTTCGAACCCTGACGAAAGTGCGACTGTGCCTTCGCTACGTCCGATTATATTCTGAACTAACACACTCCCAAAACTATCGTCAATAGTTCGGTATAGATAGAGCTGTAATTCTTGAAAATGAATCGGAATTGTCGATTTACATTTAAAATTCGTATATAAATTCGTATTTTATCTCACATTTTATATTTGTGAAATAATATGTTACTGATATAAAATTATATTAGAAATGCATATATATTTAACATATATTTAATATTCCATCATACAACAACTGTGATTGATTATTAAAATAAAATACGAAACTAGTGGTGCAGGGCATCGTGCCTTAAGACAAATTGCTGGAACTTTCCGTGCCATGATTTATAATTTTTAAAGCTTTAAATTATTTGAAAGTTTAGAAAATTTAGATTTTTTTAAATAAATTTGAATTTTTTTGAAAATTTTGAATTTATTTCAAAGCGATCGCGCTGCGTTTATGTTTCAGAGACGAAATATCGAAAAGCCGCGTCGTAGTCTAACAGTCAAAGAAATATAAACAAAATTTGTACTTATTTTTAAAATCTCTATAGAAGATCTGATAATTTGATATGCATTTTACAATGGTAATTTTTGACTGCAAAATGGTAATTTTTTTTTAAGTTTTTTTCTGTATCTTCGAAACAGCTGGACCTCCATTTGCGGAAAAATAGTCAGCACATTCATTTTTCCTATGTTCAGAAGGCTTTGAAACGTGAAGATATATAAAAATTTTCATTTTTGTTTTTAGCGAGTATTATAACTTACCCTACGGGAAGTACTATGTATTAATTGATCCTCTATTATTTGAGACTATGCATATCAACGCTTTTGCAAAATTACGTTATTTTTTCATGATATCTGAAAATAAATATTTTTTTATGTGACTTATCAAAATATAGCCTGACAACAATACAAAATCATATAAAATACATAAATATACAAAATTTGAATAATGTTAGAAAATGAACTCACATTTCCGCGTAAAGAATATCATGCTTCGCAAAATGCTTTTCTATAAAGCACTTAACAGCTTACTGTCGCGACTGAGGCGATTAAATTGCTGCAGTAACTCTGATTGCATACTATTAGGCATCATAAATAATGTACTATACACATATTTTGTTACATACTATAAAGAAATTTTCTTCATAAAGTATTTTATGAGAAAAATCACTAAATCTTAATATACATTTCAAGCGATGAGTTTACTGGTCAGTTATGAGCTCGTACAAATATTTTTATAAGAAAATCAATAACTTTTTATACACAAATCAAGTGATATACTTTATATGTAGTTACTTACTAGTTAGAGCAGGAATGATTTATTTTAGAAACTCGTGATGTTGCTGGAACTTCCCGTACCGTAAAAAAAAGAAAACATTTTTTTTTAAATTTCGAATTTTTGTAAATTTTGGAAATATTTGAACAATTTAAATATTTTTTGAAAGAATTGAAAAAAATCGCCTTGTTGAGATTTATGAAACTTTTTAATAATCTAAAAAATTTTAAAGCATTGATATTTTGTTAATTTCTTTATTTTTATGAAAATATTGAAATTTTTTGTTGAGTTTCTTGAAAGTTTTCGATACCCATTCACTTGATGTTGATTCATACTCTCAGATTTTCAATCGCCAAATGGTATTTTTTAAAAAAAATTTAATCTGAATATCTAAAACCGGTAGGCTTGTCTTGGCAAAAATTCAGTCATTTATCATTATATCAATATAAATCGAATCAGTCATTAACTTATCAATCGGAATCGAATGCTTTTTGAATAATTCAAATCAGTTGATCCGTTCATGGAAACGTGGAAACACAAACGCTTACGCACACATATTCACTTTTTCTTTATAAGGTAAAACCCGAAATTTTTATTTTCGATTTTCGGACAATTACTACAACTTACCCTACGGGAAGTTGAAAAAGTTATGAATTTTTCGACATATTTTTAGTGATATACTAATTTTCAGTGATAAACTATTTTGGTTAGTTATAGGCTAGAGTAAATTATTTTATAAAAAAAATCTTAAATTTTTCACGCTTTTCTGGTTGATTACAAACATTTCAAGTGTTGAGTTACAAGCTGGAGTAAATTATTTAATAAGAGAAATCATTATTTATTTCTGTAATAATAATGTAAAATAATATTTTGTTTTATAAAACTATTTATAACTTTCCGAAATTTTATAAGTTTCAAGCCATTTTGAATCGAATGAGACCTAATTTGGAAAACGTATGTGTGTGTGTGTGTGAACAGAATTTTTACCTTTCGTCGAAGTTTTCTCATAAACGTCTGGGCCGACTTCAAAAATTGAAAAAGGCATTCGATGTAACTAGCTTGCGTTCGTCGGTTTTGCGCGACAATCAGCCAAACCGTTTTCTTTTGTAATTAGCAAAAAAAATTTCGTTCACATTTAAGCCAAAATATCTGAATCGACTTTAAAAATTCAAAAACTATTCGAAAGATATTTGAGTTTCGTGCTGATTAAACTTGGGCAAAGATCGGCCAAACTGTTTCTTCGTAATTAACTGTTGAAAAAACAACCGAAAACATTTTTTTTATAGATGGTCCTAAAGAACATACTAAAATTTTACGAACCAACCGCAAGTAGTTTAATTTAAAAATTCATCCAAGTTTGAAAAAATATAGTCAAAAGTATCAAAAGTTGCTTTAGTGATGTGATAAGTCAAACATAGCCAATTTAATATAATTTGGAATAATAAACTACAATTTTAGAGCATATAAGCACGCATATGTGCAAAATAATTAATATAATTAAGAAAATTTAAATGTGTTTGAGAAAATTCAATTGAAACTCGCAATGTTTAGATTTAATTGAAAGCGAAAACTTTATTTTCGAAATGTTGAAAATTTTATCTAAATATATCTAAATCTCAATATTGGTTGATTAAGTCAATTATTTCACATTTCGGGAGTTCATGCATCTTGCTGTAAGGCTAAATGCCACTTTCAACTAGTCCAGTTTGTAATTAACCAAAAAAATATATCACTTGTTTTTTTATAATATCTATATTAATAGAGTGTTTTATTGTTGACTTATATATTCAAAGATATTTTTCATTGCAATTGTAAATTTATCGAATTATTAGGTTTATTAATATTTTTCTGAAATATATTTCTATTTTGCTATTTGTATATTTTGAAATGAAAATATTTTCAGTAATAATATATGAATATTTCACTTTCCGTAGAGTAAATTATAGTAACCGCAAAAAATCTAAAATGAAAATTTTTGCATATGTTTAGGTTTGAAGCCCTCCTGAACATTTTGGTATACCTTAGAAAAAATGGACGTGTGTGTGTTTGTGGATCGACAATTTCGAGAGAGCGGATCAACCGATTTGAATGATTAAAAAACATTCGATTTATATTGACAGGTTTTTGGCATAGACTCCAGACGTTTTGAAGGTCCAATAAAAAAAGTTTAAAAAAATGCCATTTGGTGGTCATAAATTATCATTAGACATATGCACATCAAATTATCAGATATTTTTATGAGAATTCAATAACAAGTACAAATTTTGTTCACATTTTTATGCATTCTGAACCAATATTTATAATGGTTATCCGTTAGAGACTGAATGAGACGCGGCGCTTACGCGCGTCGAATTTCCGAAAATTTCAAAATTCTCAAAAAGATCTAATTTTTTTTAAATTTAAAAAAAATGTTTTTAACGTTTTTAAATCACTGTGCGAGAAGTTCCAGCAATTTTCTTTAAAGCACAATGTCCAGTCAAGATTTTAATTCTCATTGTTACCTTATAGAAGTAAATTTTAAATTCAACACTTGTGTGTTTCAAATGTTATTATTATGACTTACAAAGTATACATCGAAATGACCACGCACGACCATACTAATAAATAAAACACCCCAATCGTGAATCTGCGTCAAGCGAGCAAAACAAGCTCGGGGGAGAGGGAAGCGACTCGCGTGTCAAACCATGTGCTCGCCTTCATTGCGTGCCGGTGCTTCGTGCAGTGCGGTCCTCGGTAGCTTTTTCATCCAGTAGAATTATAAACATAGGACAGTTTTGAAACGTGCTCAATCAAATAAAGGAACAGTCGCGCACGAGTGCAGTGTATACAAGTGCATAAAATTATAAATTTTTCTTACATCTGTGATTAATTTTTCTATGATGGGCGACGAAAGTTTAAGTTTTCCAGACGATGTTTTGGACCAACATATCGTGACTTTGTTCGAACGTTTGGAAGGCCTAAGGCGATCTCAAACCAATAAAGAAGCCAGGCCGCTTATGCAACTGGAAATCCGTTCGTTGGAATTTTGGCGTGCCATTTTCGCTGAATGCGTTGGTTCTTTCTTTTATGTGTTTATCGTGTGCGGGGCGGCAGCGGGCGCGGGACTCGGAGCTTCGACGTCCGCGGTCCTTCTGGCCTCCGCTCTGGCTTCGGGCCTGGCGATGGGTATGCTGACCCATAGTTTGTCACATATTTCGGGTAAGGGATATAGCCATTTGAATTTAATTTATTTGAAAATTAATGTTATTTATTTCATTGTGAACTATTTTTTTAAATTAAAATCGGTGTTAATGAATTTAATGCGAAGTTACCATTGATTCCGCGATTAAACAGTCTTTGAAAATACTTGTTATATTTACTACTGTGAAGTACGAATGATGATACTTGAAACGAAAGCTTTAAAGTAAATTTTAATTAAAAAATGAGGCGATTGCTTTGCAATTCCAATCAAGCAGAATGTTTCTAAAGTGGCAACTTAATTAAATCGCAATCATCTCGAAGAAGTTCTACAACATTCGTCGAAAGTTTGCTTTTGCTGACGATCAAAATATGGAGATCGTATTTCGCGCACGTCAACCGTAATGACAGTTTGTACATTGTTGTTATCTTCCCTATGTTCGTTAGACGTTCATCCGTACATTGCAATTACTTATTGAAGACAGTCTAGACTTTAGACTTTTATTATTGGAGTGATGAACTTCAGCATCCAATATGAAGAGAGTTAATTGAACAAATTTCGATTTTTTTCACATGTCAATTCTTTTAATTATTTCTCCACTCTGAAAACTAGTGGTCATGGCATTATGCCTTAAGGCAAATTGCTACAACTTTCCGTACAGTAAATAAACATTTGCGAAATAAAAATAATTAATCATTAATAAAAATATATCAATGAGTAATAACAATTATTTCAAATATTTTTATATAATAATTATTATAAATACTGTAAATTTCATTATCGAATTATATAATATCATATGGTATTAGTACTTTATATATGTTTATCCAAAGGAACGTAAACAGAAATAAACACCGTCAACACAAGCAATATGGTTTTGCATCACTCTAATTGGATGCGCCGTTCTCTCAAAAACTGCTATTCTTTGCATTTTTTAATTCTCCAAAGCCGCGTGTCCTATCTTCGCATAAATATAATCTATAATTATTTCC